TCATAGTTAATATTATTTGATGATAGGAATAGTTTAAATCATTGCCAGTTTATGTTTCATTGTTATTTAAGAGAAAATATGATACGCATGTTATGTTATGAAATTTTGAATGCTTATCTTAAAATAAAAATGACAGACTATATTATTTGCACTTATAAGAAAATATAATTGTGTTACTTATAAGTATATAAAAATATATTCATACAGTTTCATGAAAAAGTAATTTTAATTTTATATAAGTATATATGTCTTAACCATAAACTGAGAATGTAACTAACTAACTTGTACCACGCAATACTATTCAAAAGAAAATAGTGTATAAACCGTGCATAGCAAAAACCTATGGGGGACAAAAAAATTAAATTGCGACTGAGAGGTGTTTTACAAGAGAAACTAATTTATTGTGAATGTCAACTTTGTGAAGAAATAAAAGGAAATTGCTCTGAAAAGGGTCGGTTTGCAGAGGGTATACTGTATATGTTTTACACAATTATTGATAAAATGATAAAATGTATTACACAATATACTATTTGTTATGGTGTGTGTAGTTATTACTGTTATTACTTTCGACATTGAACTATACACTTCAATAAAATTACTATTAAAGGCGCTCATATTTTCTTTATAGTTTCTTTGGCATCAATTGTTTGAGTATAGAATTATATATTTGACGATAACTTATTAGTATAGTATTATGTTTTATAGTAATATCGATATTATATATATTCTTAATTAATAATAACTATATACATATCCGGATTGGATATGTATTGCCCAGTAATGTTTTGCCTATCTCAGTGGTTAAAGCGTTATGGTTGAGTATTGGTTTTTCCAAATAGCAAAAACATATTTGTGTCGCCAGTCCTACTCTTAACTATTAGGATGCTGCTCATAATGGTCCTGCACTTGAAAAGAATGGCGGCATTGCGCTACACTGTAAATATACAAAAGCGCGTTCATAGAAATTCACGAGAATCTAGCTCGACTCATGAAAACCTATACAAGTAGAGAACAGGCATTACACTACAAGAGACATATTGTGATTAGATGCGACGGAAGCGCATTTTTAAAAATTAGGTCATACCTGTGAAAAAATAATCATTAGTGTCCTTCATATTCATTATGGACATCTAAATACTTTTCCAGCCTCAGAATCTATTAATGCATTAAACCAAATGTCACTAGTAGTCCAGGACTATAAGCGGGATGCAGCAAAACCTCTATTCTCTGCTCCCCTAAATAAGCTTGAAGAAGGCCGACCGATGCGCAGGTTATCATGGAGTATTTTGATTCTGCGCACCCCAGACCTCCAGTTCTTTATAATGTACTGATTGCCTACAGCAGTGATAACATAGTCACTGTAAAATGTTTCAGTTCAGTAACACTACCCCTCTCAGGCCAAGCGAAACGGGCAACTATTCAAATACTGTACAAGAAAAGCATTGATGCAAAGCATCAAATGGCGACGCCAAAAGAATTTGATCCAGGTTTGCACCTAAATACTTAACAAAAGATGTATACTTTATAGCAGTACCATTACATGTTACCTGGAGGCTAGGCCCAGTTTGAGTTGAAACTTAAACCAAAAAGAATAGACTCTGTCTTGCCAAGATGCAATAAGCAATTTATAGTCAATTAACCAATCTTATAAGACTCATGCTATAAGAAAGAATTTCCTCAGATTTATTTTACAAAATACAAGGATACCTGAGTCATCAGCATATAATCACAGACACGAGTATCGGACATGGGAAGAAAAAATATGACCAGATTGATAAAAAACTGTGTTCATAAAAAACAAAAAACAAAAATGTAAATAAAGACCCCCTTTAAAAATATACTATGAACTTAAAGTATTTTTTCAAAGGGGGTCATTATTTACATTTTTGTTTTTTGTTTTTGGTTTTTGACACTTTTAAGATGAACATAGGTTTTTTTATCAATCCGGTCATATTTTTTTCTTCCCAGGTCTGATACTGGTGCCTGTGCATATAATAAAAGCTTATTGCTTAGGGTTGCAGACATGTCATTGACATATATTAGACATAAAAGAGGACCTAAAATGAACATCAGGGGGACACCATAGGTACTCAGAGCAGTTGTAGAATGAGTACTAGCCACATCCACCAGCTGCTGAGATAAGACTTAAAAAATGTAAGAATGTCATTACATATGGCAGATGCTTGAAGTTTCATGAAGAAGAAGAATAAGAACTTCTTCATGTGCAGTATAGTGTGATCAACTGTATCATTTGTCCTTTGTAGATCTCAAAGTATCATGCAATATTCCAAATTTAATGCAATCTGTTAAATAAATCAAACATGTGTCAGTTGAAAAACCACTTCTAAACCCTGACTGAAACTGCCTGACCATGACTTGAACCCATGACTTTCAGAAGACCAACTGAGCTATCCGGCCGGCTACACATTTTCTCTTTAATAATGAAACAGTTTTAAACCAAAACATATTTCCTCACTATATTGATTTGAGTCATTGAATTTTCCATGTTTACAGAGCATAGTGAATTGAACCCATGCTTATATGCAATCACAGGATGGGAAAAAACGTTCAGCTTGACCAGAACTCGAACCTGTGACCCACAGAATAATGTACCGCAGCTGTAGCGATTAAGCTATCTGGCCGCTTACAAATTTTCCTCCCCTAAATATTTAACAGTTCTAAACCGTGACAGATACTTTTTAGATTTTTTAAATTAACAGATAATTAATTCTTAATTAAAAAAAAACGCTTACATACTCATAGTCTTAATTAAATAAACAATTTATATATTATTGTATAATTAATTTTTACTAAAAAGGGCTTAGACAGTTATTGGTTGTGGCATTATTTATAGCAGGTCAATTTGAAAGTGAAAAACAAACTGTGCTAAAACATGTACCAATATCTATTTTTTTGTATAGATAAAAAAACTAAACCTTTTTTCTGTGAAAAGAAATTTTATGAAGGCTGATTTGTATTTTCCATTCAAGGGCACTGGGCGGAAAACATGAAAATGCCAAAACAAACGACCCACTTTGCATTTTTTTGTTTTCATCTGGCGCCCCGCTTACTTTTTGTACTATGTTTGTTTTCATATGGCACAAATCATCCACTTTAAAATTTAGTGCACAAATTTATTCAATCTACTCTCTGAAGTCTGTTGTCGGGTTGACTCAGGTTTCCTGGAGGTTGAGACCGGTGTCCCTCCATAACAAATAGATAAGACAGAAGCTGTCCTTTTCAATCTACGCACATGTTAAGAGAAAAAATTAGAATAACTATTCAGAATATGATTTTTTGAGACTTTATTAATTATATTGCTTGATCCAAGTTTAATGACATTTTTTAATCAATAACATGTTTTATCATTAAAACTTTTTAAATGAAAGTTGCATCCCTGTAATAAATAATGACATAACTGTAAAACCTCTTTTTAAAAATTCAGAAATATTAATAAGTCTCCATCATATCAATATACTAAGGCACATAACATTAATAATTCCCAGTTTCTATTAGATAAATATGAAATCCTAACATTTACATTAACAATGCTTTTGATGACCTTACAACTGGTAAATTTTATACAACAAAAAAGTAAGTAATACCTAGATAGACAGAAAGAACAAATAATTTAGTAAACATGAGTTTACTCCCTTAAAATATAGAAAACCTGAAACCTAAAAGAACACCCTAAACAGCAAATTATGAAATTTTGCAGGCTCAGTTTATTAAGCCATGCAAATTAATGGTAAAGTATTCATAAAAAATAGATGGCCATGTGACACAGCAGTAACTGCAGAAAATCGGATAGCTTTCAACATCCGGATAACTGGTACACTTTGTAAACAAATCATTCTGTGCAACAGATAAAAACGTAATATGGATAAAATCATAGGATATTCGTTTACAACAAGTTCATTACCTATCATGATACTCATTTGCAGGTGCACTTTCTTCTTGTAGAAAAATTTTGAAAATATAGAAATGAATGAATGAATGAATGAATGGATACGGCATCAATGTAGACCACAACGATATTCGAAATCCGGGTTTTAGTAACTAAGGGACAATCTGTTAAACAGAGCCTGCAATTTCGTGAAAATAATATCACAATGCACATGCTTTTTACATAAAGTTATTAAATACAAATATAACAACATATTTGTTTACTTGATTATTACGAATCAAAATAAAACTAATTAACACAAGATGACATTAACTGCTAATAATAACTGTTACAGCTCCTTCCATAGGCCAAAATAAAAAGCATTCCATAAGAGACGACGCCGCTCATCGGCGTCGCCAAAAAATAGAGCGTACATAACTCTTTAAACGCCCCCGCTGCGTGAGCGATCGCTATTTCCGTCTACCCATATTCAGTTAATTGTCGGGATCAAAAAATAAAGCAACGTTTCATTTCCAGTGACAATTTCTCTCAGGCGTCTAGGGTTTTGATTTTTGAACCTAGTCACTTAGGCCTTTAATGATAGATTTGAAATGCTAAAAGAAATTTACACTTGCAAAGCGTTAGAAAAATCAATAATCTTTCCACTTGTATATTATATATGTACTTTCACATACAAAACATACTTAAATTAAGATGTTAACACTTATTAAAATATGCCCTTCAAATTAAGTGCGGATATAGAATTATAGGTTGGGGTCCGTACCAGTGTTTAATATCATCTTGTTTATTAATGAATGGATAAATTTAAAGCTGAAGGAATGTAAATATAGGATATCACAAAATATACAGGATAACAGCTACAACAAATATGACATAGACATAACATAGAATGATCTACGTTCCACAATACTAAACACATATTGACATGCAACATACAACATATTAACATGACCTTGCAACATTTAAGTACTAGTAATAATCAGTGTCATGTCATACTGTACACTTAATTCCAAATTAATCTTAAAGATTAAAATACTTATGGTATAAGAATCAATCTGGTAATAATAATTGGTTGTCTTTGTTTTAGCTTCAGTTTGGTTTGAGTTACAAATTGATATGGACAACAATATAAGTGTAGACGCAGTGGGTATCTCACCGAGGCACCAAGAAGACCAAACAAATTCACACCCACAAACGTTTCAAGACAGGGATTCTTTTCCTATAAAAGATCAACAGGAGCAAAATAACTATCTACCACCAGATACCAGAAATATTACTTATTCTCCTGAACAACACGGGTATTACCAGCCTCAGTCAAAAAATGATTCAGAGGCTATAAATATTACACAAGTAAGACATGAGGAAGAAGTAAAAGATTTGGTTGATGTAGACATCGCGCATGCAAAGAAAGAAACGGAAATCAAAACACCTCAATCCGATCTAAGTATGCCTGAAACACAAGAAACACAACTTCCTGGAGTAGGCAATTATGATAACCAAAACAGGCAAGTACACACGGGTAATCAACATAAAGAACTCTGTCTTCCGCCGTCTCCACCGCTTGATTGGCGTTTGAATGAACTTCTTGACTACATTGCTACAAATGTTGACGATACAGAATTAAAAAGAATAAAACTGATGTTCACAGGTATGATGCTTTTGACAATTTCAATAAGGTTACAATAACAATTTAGACTTTCACATCATGACAGGAATTAGGTAGACTTGATGATAATAATGATTTGTAAAACATGTTATACCTACTAAAAGTTTCATACGCAGTAAACAATAAAGCCGCTTAACGGATAAATGACGTCTCACACGAACATAATGTCAAATACGTAACGCCAACATATTGCGTGTGAGTCACGTAAAGATGGGTAAAACTTACACGATAAAAGTTTAAATGCGACGTCATTCTTAATCAGCGACTATTTGTAAAAATAAACAAAAGTGGGCCAGTTATCGTAATATGTAGTTTCCATAGCTACCGTTGCTTACATAAGATACATATGATACATGACTGAACAGCAATATTTTCAAAATATGATTGTCTATAAAACTGTAAAAGATTAATTCAGTTAACTTAAAAAAATAAGGAAAAAGCGACACTTTTCTGCGTTATTATTGAACACCCGGTTTAACGAAAAGGAACATAATATTTCAATATCTCTAAACATAGGTATGCGATGACAAACAAAAGTGCATAAGTGTCAAAAGCACAATTAGGCATTTTTGTTGTATTTGAATGAGGTCGTTGGTTCAAGCTTATTGTTAACATGTTTTCTTCTTTGAAATGTATGTTTTCGTTAAGGCACTTATATCAGCCTTCTAAAAAAATCGAAACCGCAGACTGATGTTTAAAATCATCATATCACATTATCTTTCAGGACCAAACGGAATAGGTAAAGGAGTTCTTGAGAAATGTGACTCGTGTCTTCAATTGTTCATAGTCTTGAAGCAACGAGGGTATATATCGAGAGATAATATTTTGTATATGAATAAAATTCTTTACGTTTTGGAACGTCGAGACTTACATCAGAAAACAGTTGAGTATTGTGTGAACGAAGGCGATGTGATACATTATTATTCTGTTGACAGACTACTTGGTAATATATCATTTGATTTTTTTTTCTTTTGAAACTTCAATTTCCGAATTAAGTGTGTTATTTTTTAAAGATGTCAACACATTTATCGGTTGTATTTCGTACATGTCATTCTCGGTTGCAATTATTATAAAATAGTTCGTGATATTACTCATATCAAACTCTTAAATTTGAATTTAAGAAAACAGTCGAAATACTTAACTTAGGTGTAATTAAAATATAGTTCGTTATTTGTTTCTCGCAAAAATATAAATATATAAACCATGGAAATTCTCGCTAACTAGTTTGTTTCGTTGACCTCAATGTCAACAAATACGAACTACCTAAAATCTATATTAAATTTTAATGATATAAAACATCTTAAAAATATGTAGAAAAATAATTTATAGATGTCGGGGAAAAACAGATAAAGATCCACGTCAAAGCTGATGTTCAAAATTACAACAAGGAACAACTTGATCGGTTACGTAACGTTGTAGCTAGTATTGCTTGTATTCCCGCTGAAGAAATATTGATATCTGCTGTTGCGCCAGGGTCAAGCTTACTCATCACATTCACGATGCCTGAAATGTACGTCGACATACTACAAAGCTTGTTTGAGAAGAAAGTGAATCTTAGAAGATTTACAGCCATAGATGTTGACATCATTATAATAGATGGCAAACAATACGATGTGACAGGTAAGGCAAACTACACAAAATGGAGTGTGTCCGATATAAATGTTAATATTTCCCAATGAATAATTCGACTACTTGTTGGCAATATAGCCGTCAGAAGAAAATATCATGTAAAGTTGGAAATGCATGTTTGACATTTTTTACATGTCTTCTATTTTCTTTTGTTTTTATTCTTTTTCAATGGGGGGGGATAATAAACATGTGGCCTGATATGAAGAATAATAACTGACTCGGAACTTTGTCTTACATATGAAAAGTAGAATACAATTCTCACCGAAAATATCTAAATATAGCTCTATGCAACAGAGCGTCCTTCTGTCCGTCCGTCCCTCTGTCCGCTCTCAAGGGATAGTAATAATGTGGCTAGAGGGACAATAGGTAACTGTTCTTTCTCTTTGATGTCATTCATTCCGTAATGTTTTTATGTGGCTATTTTCTTTTGTTTGGCTAAAAAAACAATAGAGAAAAAATAGAGTAGCAAAAAAACTGTGTTAGAACGTGTTTTTTTTTTTGTTGTTGTGTATTAATTTTTGGTCCCCGGATAACTTTGTAATTTTTAAAAAAAGTTTTAAATAACTGGGCCCCAAAAGGGGTTAAATAAAAACGATGTTCAGCACCAAACCAAAAACCCCCCCTCCCGGGGAAGGTCCAAACCCTAATCAAGGTCAAACAATTGTTTTTTTAGGGGAAAATTTGTGTCCGGGCCTTTAAATTTTTATTTTTAAAGGGTTTTTTAAAAAACTTTCCCAAAATTTTTAACAAATAAAGACAATGTTCGCGCAAAAATGGCCCTACTTTAAAAGGCAATTTAAGAGGGCAAAATTAAAAATGTCTGTTAAGATTATTTTGGTCCATCAAATTTTTTCATAGATCAAAGGATTTTGAAAATACTTAGCACAAATAGTCACTATAATAAGACGATGTGTCGTGCGCAACACCTGCATCCCTACATCCAAGGTCAAGGTCCCAGTTTAAGGTAAAAAATTAACACAGTCAGTTATAGGGTATATTTTGTGCCTGATCTAAATCTTCTTCATTTTAAAATAACTTATAATTGGAGGTCAAAGATTAACATAGTTTGTTATAGGCTATATTTTGTGTCCAGTCCATAACTTTTTCATAGATCAAAGGATTTTGAAAATACTTGGCACAAAAGTCACTATAATACATACACACAATAAGTCATATGTCAAGTACAACACCTGCACCCCTACCTCCAAGGTCAAGGTCACACTAAGAGGTCAAATGTTCACAGAGTCTGTTATATGGTATATTCTTCTTCATAATCAAGGGATTTTGAAAATACTTGGCACAAATAGTCAAAATGATTAGATAATGTTTTATGCGTTAACATGTGTCCCCACCTCCAAGGTCAAGGTCACACTTAGAAGTCAAAGATTTACCTGGTTTATTATAGGGTATATTTTGTGTCCAGTCAATAACTTTTTCATAGATCAAGGGATTTTAAAAATACTTTGCATAAATAATCACAATAAAAAGACAATATGTTAGGCGCAAAACATGGGTTCCTACCTCCAAGGTCAAATTTAGAGGTCAAAGATTAACATAGTCTGTTATAGGGTCTATTTTGTGTCCGATCTATAACTTCTTCATAGGTCCAGGGATTTTGAAAAAACATGGCACAAACAGTAACAATAAAACGACGATATGTCATGCACATCACCTGCACCCCTACCTCAAAGTTCAAGATCACACTTAGAGGTCAAAGCTTAACATGATAGATTTTTAAATTCAGTATTTCTTTATATTTCTTTAGTGCTGTTTTTGTTGCATTTGGAGATCTAGCATTGATCATAATTTTGGACTGAAAATACTGAGATCCATACCTCAATCTTTTGAAATAGCACAGTTTAATGCTTCATATAAAACTTACCTGAGGCGGGGGGGGGGGGGGGCGTTGGTAACTGTGTTACAAATTCTTGTTTACAATTATGTCAACATGCAAACAATCTATGATAGACAAAATATGTATGCATCGTTTATTTCTTCTTTGTTCAGTTTTAAAAGTAAATAAATATGCAAACTTATGAATCCGTTAAAAAGTTTATTGACGGGATATACGTGAAGTTAAAGCCTTGTTATATTCATTTAATTCTCGGCTGACGCATTTGGTTACATAAATGTAGCACTTCTTTCGGCTATATCATCCACTAAACCCTGTCATCAAGCTATATAATCGATATTGTTTTCAGACAAAATAGCAAATATACAAAACATGATCCTTGTGTGTGTTTAAAAATACGAATCTGAACTGAAACGAAGTACCATACTTTTAACGCTTGATTTTGTTTCATGAATTCAATTCTAAAGAGACATTATGCTCATTCTTTTCGCTGCCAAGTTGAGCTATAGTTAAATTAATAATATATTTTGAGCGATTGGCTATTATGATTGTGATTGACATATAATTAAAAACGAAATGAAAATGGATTGAATGTAAAAAACGACCTATATTATAAAAGTCTGTCCCCCTCTATTTAACAGTTTATTTTTTCATAAAAATATACGAGTCACGTGGTGTATTCAGTTTTGCATAGTAAGAAATAATATTGAACATGATAAGGATAAAATGTAAAGAAATTTTGACTTTTACTTGTGCAGACATAATTGGTAATTGGATGGGTATAAATTCAATTTAAGTTTAAGGGATCAACTTCATACTTCAAATATATGTGCCTTATCATCAACCACATCTTATTTGAGAAGGTTCATAACTCTAGCACAAATTTTATCAGATTTATCTCCCCTTGAACTTAGAATTTTCTTTAAACCTATTGTTGTTTTTACTGTTACTTATTCATTTCTTAAGGGACCAACTTCATACTTAAAGTATATGTACCTTATCATTAACCACATGTTATGTGACAAGGTTCATAACTCTAACACCAATAAATCAAGAATTATCTCCTTATCAATGTAGATTTTTTTACTTGCAAAATGCTATTTTTACTATAACATTTTTAGTTTTAAAGGTATCTACCTCAAACTTCAAATACTTATTTCTTATCATCAATTCCATTTTATGTAACACAAGGTTCATAACTTGAAGCAATTTTTACAGATAAATCTCTTTTTAAATTAAGATTTTCTTTAAGAAATATAATATTATAACTTCTTTACTTTTTAACCAAGTTTTCAACGAAAACCGGCTTATTGTAATGCCGAAGTCGGCGGGCGGGCGGGCGTCAACTTCAGTTTCTGCTCAATAACTTAAGTTTGTTTTGGCTTATTGACACCAAACTTGGTGTATGGATAGCTTATATCAGACATAATTGGTAATTGGATGGGTATAAATTCAATTTAAGTTGATGTGAAGTATGAAAATAATCTCTTTTAAAAACATTACGATAAAATAACCACTTTTCATCATAAATGTAATAAGGTATATTTTTACTATAGGACAAGAAGCTGTCATAGATGTAAGTGAGCAATGTAAGGAACTCATGAACGTATATAAACAACTTGAAAAAACAAGAAATGATCTTGAAGAGATGGAGATTACAAACTTGAATTGCAAAAAAGAACTTGAAGAGGTAACTGATCGACTTAAAAAGGCCGAATCGACTAGGAACTCAGTAGTAACCCTTGAAAGTAGGAATTCAGAACTTGTGACATTATGTTCGATGTTGCAATCAATGCATTTTACGTATGGTGTAACAGAATCGTCTATTGAAAAATTAAGGCTATTGATGACAGAAGCAACTAATAAAGATCAGGACAAAGAACTCATACAAAGAATTATCAGAGCAAATACAGAAATTGTGGCGGCATGTCATCGCAATCGGAACGAGTTAGAACAAAAGGAGAGGAGTATAAAAGATGAAAAGAAGAAATTTATTGAATTTGAACTGAAACGTGATTTAGCCACTGGTATTAGGACTGCGAAAGAGGTACTGGTTGAACACTTCAATGTGTTTCTGAGAGGTATTGTATATTACAGCCATCAGATATTTATATAAAATATCGATTGCACTCGCTGCAAGTTCTGGGCGTTTGATAATTATCTCTTAGAATCGAAGAAAATTTGTTTAACGTATTTTGCAATTGATTAATTTCGAACATTGAGTCTCTTGACAGTTTTTATTACAGCTTATTTTCTAAAGGAACAAACAATGAAATTGCTAATTTAGAAGAAGAGTTTGGTGGACATATTGTCAGGAGAATGACTTGATGGTCTTTTTATGCCACCGCAGCATCTGCGATGGGGTGGCATATAGCGATTCACCTGTGTGTGTGTGTGTGTGTGTGTGTGTGTGTGCGTGCGTGCGTGCGTGCGTGCGTGTGTGTGTTTGTATGTATGTGTGTTCTATAGATTAAATAGTGAACTTAAAAATACTTCTTGTGAAAAACCACTAGTCCAGTTTCAACCAAATTTGGCGGAATTGATCCTTGGATGAAGGGCTTTAAAATTTGTTCAAAGAATTTCATTCCATGCAGAAATCTGGTTGCCATGACAACCAAAAGGAATTATAAGAATAGATTTAAAAAATCTTCTTGTAAAGACCCAAAAGGCTTAGAGCTTAGATATTTTGCATAAGGCATTATCTGGTAGACCTCTACCAAGATTGTTCAAATTATAGCCCTGGGGTCAAAATTGTCCCCGCCCCGGGGGTCATTCATTTTCACCATATGTACATTTAGTAAACACTTAAAGTACCTTCTTGCCTGAAGGTACAAGGCTTAGAGGTTTGATATTTGGTAAGTGATATCATCTATAGGTACTCTACCAAAGTTGTTCAAATTTTGCGTCTAGTGTTAAAGTCAGCCCCGCCCCGGGGGTCATAGGTTTTTCATAATTATATGTATATAGTAAAAACTTAAAAATATTTCTTCTCGAAATTGACAAATGCTAGAGGTAAGATATTTTGCATATTTTAATATTGTGTATTATAGCGAACCAGACGCTCTTGACACAGGCTTGTTGCGTTATAAATATATTGTCATTTTTTGTCTGTACATGCTACGGATACTGTCGATGATCTGTCGGTGTTTCATATGCTCTGTTCACTGACCATTTAATCAGTACGCAATTGACATGTTAATAAAATAGGGAAATATTACATTTTACTCATAGTTTTACTATTTAAGGTTATTCTGACAAATGTCTATGAGACTTTTATTTCTTTCCTCTTGTAGAAAGTGGGTAATTCTAAAGTACATCTTTATTCTCTGTTTTATATGCAAATTCCGTATTTACAAGAATAAAAAAGCCGCCTCCGTGGTCGAGGGGTTAGAGTCGGTGACCTCTAATCCAGTTACCTCTCTGGCGTGGGTTCGAACCCCGGGAGATGCTTTGGTAGTTTAGCGCTGAGGAAGGTAGTCTAGTACTGGTGTAACTCTCCAGGAACGATGGTTAGTAAACTACCCGCCTATATGACTGAAATACTGTTGGGAAAAGGCGTTAAATGAAACAAACAAACAAGAATAAAAAAGTCATATTTTGGTAATATCTGACCTTGAAATCAAAACAATCCGTATTTTAGTAAATACGGACATCATACAAAGTTTCCGTATATTACGAGTGTGTGGATCACGATATATTAGTCATATACGTATTGCATGATACACGGTACCGTACATTTACGTATTCAAATTTCACTTATTTAACCTGTATAGCTATAATATACGGAATTCCGCATCCTTTATTGTATCAATATATATTCCGCAGTGGTCATAATGGCGTAAAATGACGTTTACAGCGGAATTTTGACACAGGATGATCTTTTTAATGACAAACAAAATATTGTTCAGTCATTTAGACTGAGTATACATTTTAAAGGACGTTTTAAGAAACAAATCAAACATTTATTTAGGAAATTTTTTAATAAGCCGCTTTAAAGGCGACAAATGCGTCAAAACTGAACGACAAATTCTACACAAAACTGACAGTTTTCTTTTCATTTTTCAAACATTTTTCGGCGTCAAATGATAAATTTTATATCAGCTTAAAGGAAATATTACTTTCCATCAAATGCTATAGAGTTTAAGATAATTTGTTGTAATATCCGTAACAGTTGCCAAGGATACGCAACGACGTCATGTTCAAAAACGGGCTTTGATGGTCAAGTTTGACGTCGTGTGTACAAAAATTGGCTAAAACGATTGGAATTAAATTAACGGAAGCTAATCATAAATATGGTCAACTTCTGCATGCTAATTTTCAAGACGCTACCCGAAAGTTCGCAAAGTGTCGAGTTCTACTTTAACAATTTGACATTTACAAGTAGAAATGTATACAATGTGCACACAAAAGTTCTAAAATAACCTTTAATTAACTGAACCATAACACTCCCACTACACCTCAATGTATCTCTGTAGAAAAAATAACTCCTTGTATATAAAAATATAAACCAAGAAGATAAAAGTTATGATTATTCTGATTAACAAAATTATTTTTTTACATGTATTGTATCGTGATTGCAATATAAAGATATCTCTAATGATTAAAACATATTGTATTACAGGTTTCGATTTAGGAATGAAAATGGAATTAGTTGAAGCTATGTATAAGACGTCGGAAAAAATCTCAAGCGAACAGAAAGCTAAACTTAGAGTCGTGTATGAATTGTCAAAAGATGACGTGATAAATGCCTGCATAGACGCTGACGAAGGGTTGATTTTGCTTGGTATAGAATGCAAGGAATCAATAGCGGAAAATAAACCGAACACTTCTGGTATACACACTTAGCTCATTATGAAAACAAAGCACATGCATTGTCTAAAAATTTACATAATAGCGGGTTATTGCACCTTTTTATCCCCCGCCGAAAAGGCGGCGGGGGATATAGAAATAGTCTCCGTCCGTCCGACCTTCCGTGCTTCCGTCCGTGCTTCCGTCCGTCCGTCCTTCCGTCCGACATTTTTGTCCGGAGCATATCTCTAAAAGTATTTGAGTAATCAACTTGAAACTTCATAGGTGGATAGACCTCATTGAGAAGGAGTGCAGTGTACAAGAATGATAACTCTACCCTGCATAATTTTTGAGATATTGCCCTTTGTTATTTTTCAAAATTGATTTTTGTCCAGAGCATAACTCCAAAAGCCTATGAAATATCAACATGAAACTTCATAGGTGCATAGATCTCACTCAGGAGGTGTGCAGTGCTTAAGAATGATAACTCTACCTTTCATAATTTTTGAGTTATTGCCCTTTGTTATTTTTCATACTTAATTTTTCACCTGAGTGGAGCATAACTCAAAAAATGTTTGACATATCAACATGAAATGTCATAGGTGGATAGATTTTATTGAGGAAGAATGCTGTGCACAAGAATGATAACTCTTCCCTGTACAATTTTTGAGTTATTGCCCTTTGTTCTTTTTCATACTATTTTGTCCGGAGCTTATCTCAAAAAAGTATTTGAGGTATCAACTTGAAACTTCATAGGTGGATGTATCTCATTGAGGAAGAGTGCAGTGCACAAGAATGATAACTCTACCCTGCATAACTGTTTAGTTATTGCCCTTTTTTATTTTTCAAAATTAATTTTTGTCCAGAGCATAACTCAAAAGGCCTTTGAGATATCATTATGAAACTTCATAGGTGCATAGATCTAACTCAGGAGGTGTGCAGTGCACAAGAATGATAACTGTACCTTTTATAATTTTTGAGTTATTGCCCTTCGTTATTTTTCATACTTAATTTTTCAATTCAATTTTTTTCTCAAAAAGTATTTGAGGTATCAACTTGAAACTTCATAGGTGGATAGATTTTACTGAGGAGGGATGCAGCACACAAGAATGACAACCTACCCTGCATTATTTTTCAGTTATTGCCCTTTGTTATTTTCAGCCATCAGTAATGACCTAGGTTTCAAATCTGTAATTACTATAGCCATCAGTTTTCATTACCAAAAGACCTCTTAAAATGGAATTATTCTGCTGTACTACATATACATTCTTCCAATGAGCAAACACATTCGGCGGGGGATGGCCATGTTGACATGGCTCTTGTTAGCTTTATAGCCCGAGCCCGAAGCGCGAGATATTAAATGATTTCGACGGATTCTAAAAAGATAAATGCACAAGAAAGGAGTATTAGCGAAATTCTTGCGTTAAAGTGTACGAAGTCTGGTTCTGTAATCTGCCTTTCGATATCATTTTTGTATAAAGAAATTGATGCCGTCATGCTTTTCACAACCGTCATTGCTTTAAGCTATTTTACATACCTGTGTCACCCATATAAAACCCCAGGGCGGCGTTCTCACTGAATCCAAAGAAAAATTCAGAACACCGAGGTGAGCGCAGTAAGATCGCAAGCATCGCGGCATTATCGCAGTGGCATCTCCTACAACGCAACAGGAGCGCCGAAGAAACGCGCAGAAGGAACGCCAAATGAACGCCGTGATTAGCAACGGCGCGTGTACGGAGATTGTGCGTCGTCTCTTCCGCGCTTATACTGCGTGTGTACGGCGCTTTTACGGAGCTTTATTTTTCTCAAACGCTCTTACTGCGACTTCGTGGCACTGTTACGGGAACCTTTGCGCTCATAAGGCGTACTTACTGTATTAATCTGAAATTGCAGAATACAGTTCAGTAGAATCCCTACTTAAGACTACACAGGAATTAAGACCACCCGTCTATTGAGATAAATCTTTAAAAGAACGGAATTTTCTGTTCTTTATTTTAATGGTCACATGATCCACAATTAAGACCCCCACATATCAACTTTTAAGATCATCAGTTCCAGTCTCAATCCATTGTTTTATTTATATTACCCGACTATTGAGACAGCTGATATTCCAGTCAATACCTATTCAGATCTATTCATCTGCCTGAATTCTCTAAAGCATGTCACTTGATGAAAAAAGGTGTTAAAACTCTTGTGACTGGACAATCGTATAAAGATGAGAAAAGAAACTTCCGCGTGGTTAAATGTTACTTTCTGCACATTTATTTTGTGAAGATTTTTTTTAATTAATAAGTTTATTAATACATGAAACAAGACGTATAAAACTTCTTTAAAAGTCTCTTCTCTTAAAAATATTTTATGATTAATATCTCCAGATTTATGCACGAATTAGGATAAATATTATAACATCAGATTATAGTAATATTTGAAGGTAAGAATATAATTCTTTAAACATGTTTATGCATAATAATTCAAAAAGAGTGGTCATGAAATATACATGCCTTAATAATTATATCTACCATTATGACCACCCGCAATTAAGAACACTTAAGTCAAGACCCTTTGGTGGTCTTTATAGAGGGTTTTCACTGTTTATATTAAACGTGTTTGCAAGTTTTTCCGATTATGTGGCCCCAGCTTTGCCGTGTGCAAAATGCGCAGCGCTTTTAAGTTTGGGAACCACATAATCGGATAGCTTCGTTCATAGCCGTCTGGTCCATTGAATTTATCGAAAGTTTTTGTCGTTGAAAAAAAACGGCGAGAATATTGATGTTTATTTCGGCTGTTGCGTTGTTTATATTACCGTTGAAGTTTAAAATTGACCATCATCGTGAAGAATTATATCTTCTGTGTCGATGGACCAAAGGATTATGTGAAAATATTGGAAATGGATTAAAATACATGGTGATTATGACGGTAGGGGTGCGGATTTTTTCCGGCGAACATTTTTATCTTGTGTATTATTATAGATGTTGAAATATGATTTTTTTCAAAACGGCATATATTAAGATTTTTTGATATATATGATCAGTACATGTCCTGGGATTGACAAATATGCATTTTTTTTTGGATTTTAAAGGCGTTTTGAGCTCCAAACCCCAAGCGTCTGTGGAAAAAGCCAACATATACGGGTTACTTTTGTCGGCGTCCCCTTAAGCTTGTCCAGAGCGTAAGTCAGTCATTATAAGTCGGATTGACTGCATGCTTCTTATAATGACCCGAAGTGCAATGCACAAGAATTGGTACTCTGCACTTCTTAATTTTTGAGTTATTGCCCTTTGTTAATTTTCATACTTTATTTCGGTCCGGGCCATTTCTCCTAATGTATAAAAGCTTTGGACTTGAAACTTCAAAGGATGATAGATCTCATTAAGAAGAAGTGCAGTGCCTAAGAACCGTTACTATGCATTTCTTATTTTTTGAGTTATTGCCCTTTGTTTATTTTCATACTTTATTTTTGTCCATGCCATTTCTCCTAAAGTATAAAAGCTATCGACTTGAAACTTCATAGGATGATATATCCGGGCTTATAATTTCTCATAAATTATAAAAGCTATGGACTTATAAATTCATAGGATGATAGATCTTATTGATAACAAGTTTAGTGCACAGAAACTGCTGTTCTGCACTCCTTTTTTGAGTTATTGCCCTTAGTTATTTTCTATGTTTCATTTTTGTCCTAGCCATTTCTCCTAAACTATATTGTTCACAAGGCGACACATCCCTCTCGTGGAGGAGTTCTAGTTTTAATAAACTTGAACAGGGAAGCTTAGGCGCATTACCGGGGCATCCCCGGGACAATACCGGCATCACCCGTAGCTCAACCGTGGTGAAACCAGTGATGGTTGGGATGGATGGTGATGAAACCGTTTGTAGGCGGGTCTCGAAGGGATCAACCAGGAATACACCGGGTTAGCATCTGCACTTAACTGTATATAGCCTGTGTTATATTGGGTACTAAAAGACAGGAATGCACCTGGCCTTGGCTTTGCCAGAGATGTGTAAACGCAATTTGATTTTTTTGAAAAACAACATGGAATACTCCGGTTCAACAGTTTGAGACACAGTAGTAATACCGTGGCCATTACCAGGACAGTGTAAATGGAGCTTTAATGGCTTAATTTGACAGCCCAATTATAAGTTTAAACCAAGTCTGAGCTGGCTTATATTTTTTTCTATTATAGAGTAATGGGAATATTGTTAAGGTTGGCTAAGCCTGTATGTTGTAATTACATGTACATGTAACTTTGGGACAGATTTACTGAATGAATTTATTGATGTGACGTCTTATTTATATGTTGGAGGGACACTGGTTTCAATATTCAGTTCTAGAGCAGAATCAATCCCACTTCAGACTTTTAACAGAGTAGGTGTTTTCTTGCACTCTTGTATAAGACTAAATTTTTTGGTGGCTGAGTTGGTAATTAACATACGTACCTGATGTATATTGGGTTTTTTTTTTTCAATGCGTGTTAATTGAAAATTAATTTACCGGTTTTTAAAAGCTATCTAACCGTATATGTCATGGGTAAGAGGTGTTCACTTTTAAGCTCTTAAAAGGTGTAAGCGGCCGGACAGCTCGAATTACGCACATTTCGGACCATGGACTTTTCGGACCAGATTTTTTGGTCATTTTGGACCAGATTTTTGGACATATCGGACCTTGTGATGGTCATTTCGGATCATGATGGGGACAATTCTAACCAGAACATATATTCCTTTTAATATGTAATTATTTGTTTTTTCAGGATGTATTTACAATATTTTCTAATAATAAATACAACAAATATTTGACATTTTTATGTTTTATGATGCAGTAATGACCTGTCCGACGAGATTTTCACATTTTCTGACAAGCTTATATTACCATTGTTTTGACTATCCATGTAAAATATTTATATCATAATTCATTTATGTATTTCTGAACGTTTGCAATGTTTTAATATTAAAAAAATAAAATAAAAATAATAGCCATGAAAGTTGATCATATCATAATAAATTGTCTGCAAACGTGTGTCATTAAAACATTTCTAGTTTGTTTTTTAAATTTCTTCATTTATAGTGCAAAATATATAAAATCTAAATCGGGATAGGTGTAAAATCTTCCTATGGTGTCTCATATATTCTAAAGTTACACTTTAGTTTATAGAATAATTGATGCATAATATATAAAAAAAAGATATTTATTCTGGTCCGAAATGTCCAACACATGGTCCGAAATGTCCAAAACAGTGGTCCGAAGTGTCTAACGCATGATCCGAAATGTCCAACACATGGTCCGAAATATCCAAAAATCTGGTCCGAAATGTCCCTTAATATGGTCCGAAGTGTCCCAAAATGTGGTCCGAAATGTCTGGTTCGAAACGTCCATGGTTTGAAATGTCCTATTACCGACAGCTCAGTCGGTAGAGACGCAGTGTGGTAATCTGAGGGTCACGAGTTAGGGTCCCTTTGACTGCCATATGGCTAAGAATTTAATTCACATTGCTCTGTAACCCTGGGAAATTCGAGAAAATATTTGAATATTTGCATAATATATAGCAGGGAAGTACGGTTTAGAACTGTTCAGTATTTAGGGGAATAAAGTGTAAGCGGCCGAATACCTCAGCGGGAAGAACTGCGATAAACACTGGTTAATGTACATGGCTTCGAGTCCCTACCAGGCTGTTACATATCAATAAAAAATATGTTAATAAGAAAAAGAAATAAGAAAAATGGTAAGGAATTGTCTAAATTTAATATCACCCTAAATAGGATTCGGACAGTCTGTCTAAAAATGTATTCCGGTGTGAATATCGTGCGTCGATGTCCGGTGTTCATGATACTTCATCATAGGGTCTCAAACTAGATCGAATGTTAGAGTTAACAACGCTAAATTTATGTTATTTATAGAAAATATTTTACTTGAAAAAAAAAACGACAAAAAACTGTCAAATATTATCATATAAAGTAGCTTAGACTATATGTTCTAAACTAATAACAGAAGCAGACGCACGTTATTTACACATTCTGGACCAAACGATAAATGGACACATGCGCACGCTAAACGATAGCAAACGCACACTCTCAAACGCACGATAAACGAAAAACAATACACGGAAAACGATAAGGCGTTAAACGAAATACGCTAAGCGATATACGCACGCTAAAACGCACGCAAAATGAAAACGTTTCTAAACCTTTATTAAAAAATCTTTTCACGTGTAAAATGTCTTTGAACATTACATTCCTAAGTTTCTATATTTGCAATTAAGAACTTAAATTGTCTGTTTTTTTAATAATTTCATTTTTCTTGCGCAATTCTCTAAAATGTGAGACTTGGTTTTTCTATATGCGTTTCACAATAAACATTCACCATACCAGGTTGTAAAATAACTTAATTTGGTCCTTAAATCGGTTTTTACCACAACATCAAACTTCATTCAGAATTCATGTCTAGTTATTGTGAGCAAAATTCTGAGTTTCCTTTAGATATAAGCAAGAAAATGTTTTATTACCCCCGCCGAAAAGACGGTGGAGGATATAGAATTAGTCTCCATCCGTCCGTCTGTCCTTCCGTCCGTCCGTCTACATTATTGTCCAGAGCATATCTCAAAAAGTATCAATTTGAAACTTCATAGGTGGAGATATCAACTTGAAACTTCATTGGTGGATAAATCATATTTAGGAAAAGTGCAGTGCACAAGAATGATAAATCTACCCTGCATATTTTTTCATTATTGCCCTTTGTTATTCTTCAATCTCATTTTTTGTCCAGAGCATAACTCAAAAAGCCTTTGAGATATCAACATGAACTTTCAAAAGTGGATAGATCTCACTCAGGAGGTATGCAGTGCAAAAGAGTGATAACTCTACCCTTCATAATTTTTGAGTTATTGCCCTTTGTTATTTTCCACACTAAATTTTTCCCCTGAGTGGAGCATATCTCTGAAAAAGTCTTTGAAATGTCAACATGAAACTTCATAGGTGGATAGATCTTTTTGAGGAGGAATATTGTGCGCAAGAATGATAAATCTATCCTTTATAATGTTTTAGTTATTGCCATTTGTTATTTTTCATACTTTTTGTCCGGAGCTTATCTCAAAAAGAGTGAGAGGTAACAACTTGAAACTTCATAGGTGGATAGATCTTATTGGGGAGCAGTGCAGCACACTAGAATGATAACCTACCGTGCACTGTTTTTTCAGTTATTGCACTTTGTTATTTTTCATACTTTATTTTTGTCCAGGGTATAACTACAAAAGCATTTGAGATATCAACATGAAACTTCATAGGTGGATAGATCTTACTCAGGAGGTATGCAGTGCAAAAGAGTGATAACTCTACCCTTCATAATTTTTGAGTTATTGCCCTTTGTTATAATATACTAAATGTTTCACCTGAGTGGAGCATACTTCTGAAAAAGTCTTTGAAATGACAACATGAAACTTCATAGGTGGATAGATCTTATTGGGGAGGAATGTTGTGCGCAAGAATGATACCCTTTATATTTTGTTAGTTATTGCCATTTGTTATTTTTCATACTTTTTGTCCGAAACTTATCTCAAAAAGGTGTTGGAGGTATCAACTTGAAACTTCATAGGTGGATAGATCTCATTGATGAGGAGTGCAGCGCACAAGACATTTAACCTACCGTGCATTATTTTTCAGTTATTGCCCTTTGTTATTTTTCATACTTAACTTTGTCCAGAGCATAACTACAAAAGCCTTTGAGATATCAACATGAACCTTCATAGGTGTATAAATCTCACTCAAGAGGTATGCAGTACACAAGAAAGATAATTATTCTACTCTACTACATAAACATGGCTCTTGTAACAAGTTACATTATGATATTTAAAAACCTTCTGAACAAGTTATCATGTCAATTCAACACAATGCTATTTGGAGATACCTTATCAATATATTTAACTGTTTTTTGTTGTTGTTTTTTGTGGGGGGATGGGTGTTTTGTTTTTCGCCGTGACACTCATATTGCTGCATTTCCCAGCAATTTTTTACTTGTCTATAATAACCTCTGAAACAATACGGATTGCCAGTAGTTCTACCACGTGGTTTCAGATGTAAACAGAAACACAGATAATGTAACACGAATGCATTTATTTCACATCTAATGTCTGTTCCGGTACTCTTATGCTTGAAAATATGTCTGACAACAATTTGAAATTTAAATATGCCCACTGATGTTCAATTTTAAACAAATCCGACTATATGTTAACAGGTCAACAGGTCAACAGGTCGGTTTCTTCAGCCATAAATAAATATATCAATAATGTATTGTTTTCTTTTGTACCTATGAAGTCACTTATTTCAGGTGGACTTTTACTACATATATTGAAAATAAACTTGTCAACAACTCCCAACATTTAATTACTATTTGTTTACATGTTTAGTTTCTTAGCGTAGGTTTGACCGAAATACCGCATCCGTTCTGTTTATTGATACTATTGTGTTCCAGGTCCTTATCCGAAGACTGACGGAAAGGGCCGAGTAGTTGCGATTGTGACAAACATATAACTTTTGCATTAAGTAGTTACATATCCTTTCTCAAAAACTGAATTAATAATCAATTTAAAATTAAATTATTATCGCCTATTACAAATGCCAAGGTTTATATTATTAAATAAACTGTCAACACCTTCATATAAGTATTGTCACATTTTTTTTACCAAAATACACATACAAAAATATCCCTTTTATCATTAACACCATATGGAGCAAAGTTTATTTCATCACCATCCATATTTGAATACTTATTTACCTCCTTTAAACTTCTTAAAAAAGTCAAAACTGAGAAAATAGCAACTTTTTACAACATCCGTTTACGGATTAACTTTAAACTGCCATTGTTCCCGCTGATAAGTAAGTTTCCACACGACAAGTTCATGACGCAGTATTTATAATAACATTATTAAAATAAACATCATCTGAAATTGCTAATTTTGTTATTTTATAGACATTTTATTGGAATATGATACTAAAGAAATCACGGGAGAGAATTACGCCATTTGTTACCCAAACAAACAAGATGACGGATGCAGTCGAAAAATAAGTGTTTCCCCTTTTTCTCCGAAATACGTGATGTTCCGGTGTAATGGTACATATAATAGCCTTGTCCATAATTGTCCGGGCTCAAAGGATTTTATTTAGTGATGTTTCGTCCCATACTTTATCTGAAATGCGCGTAACCAGATTTGAAGCGAGATAATTTTCCGCCGGTTTGATCGTGATAACGTACTGCTTTTTCTCTCAAATTCACTGTTTCTTTTACATACACATGCATGCATATTAACTGAAACCACTGACTTTAAAAAGTTGTAATATGTTGTCATCTAAGCATGCATGCTGATTCTGGCTAGATTTACGGGTATAGATATTAATATCGAGGCATTTCCGGAAATGATAACGTATGACGCACAAAATATCAGTGATAACGTATGGTGCATTTTTCTGCTTAGTGGATTTTCTGTATATCAGTCATTTTTGAATAGAGTGTTCATTTGGAAAATATTTTATACAGACTACCAACAAGTATTCCTTAATTTCGGTATTGCAATGAATCTATATAATGTGTGCGAGAAAAAAAAATAAAAGAAGGAAAGACCTAGACATGCCTCCGCCATCAGTGATTCTCCCCCGTGGAATAGAAATAAATCAATATAAGAATAATACTTTTTCTTGGGTGAATCTTGTCAATTACGTCCTGTACTGTAAAAATGGTAAGCGAGCACTTTATCAGCAAATATTTGTAGATATTTTAGGAGGATAATTTTATTTCGCATTCAGAAATTTTAAATGCAATTGTACATTTTGTACGGAAGATGATACAGCACGAAAGCAGCTATAATCTTAATTGCAATACCTTTAGTCTTTTGAAACATGTTTTAGATGACATACTTGCTCGATGTGGACAAACGATTGGTTTAGATCTTCTAAGTTTGTACAATACATTTGTACAAGAGGTTAAAGAAGAAAAGAAACAACAAGAAAAAATACAGATTCACAAGCAGCTTATTCGGCATCTTGAGCATAAATCGAAGACACCTCAAGAGATAGTCATCATGTTCGCAGAAACTCTTACATTCAAACAAGGTTGCATGATTTTTTTTCTAATTTAAGTCATATAGCCATTCAAACTGTTTAGTTTGTGTTCGAGCACGAAAGACAAAATATCATATAGAATTACAAATGTTTTGATATATAAGGCGTAATTAAGCTGAAAAGTTATTTTTTCCCTTGCAGTTTAAAGTTAAACAAATTGTAATGTTTTTTTCTTATAATTGACTTAATTTATACTTAATCTTGTAAGCAATCGTACCATGTAGTTTGTAAATTAAATTATATAATGTCGTATAAAAGTTCATCATTGCAAGATGCCAAAGAGTTTGAATGGCATTTTTAATAATTTTTTTCCGACTATCTATTTGAATTAAAGAATGATTCAAATAAAGACTTAAATATCGGATGTTGTACGAGAGTGATACATTATCACATGTATGTTGATAACTTATACATCATAGACCTATGTACCCTTTCACCTCATATGGAATTTTAATCGGCCTTTGTTTATTTTTCAATATGGGTATTCTTAAATCATTAGCATAGTTCTCTGGTCAGGTCTTATTTATCTCTATTTTATTCATATGCATAGCATGTTTTAGGCACATAGGAACCTAGACTGAAAGAATATCTCAACGAAGAATACATGAAGATACTATACAAAAATTATAAATGATACTAAATAAAGAAGGATGTCAAAACGATAGAATCAGGAGATTTCCATTTGTTTATGTTTTTCTCTCTTTTTGGAGGGGGCTGGGGCGGGAGGGGATGGATTTATATACATTACTAATTATACCGCGCCGAACGATATAATGAGTATGCCTAAAAAGTGTTTGCACAAATGAATAAGTTAATTCATAGTTTACTAAAGGAAGTCACCTTGTATTCAGGACATAATTTATTCACTTATTTACTGATGTACAATTATAAGATCATTATGTAGTGCTGAGCAATTATAATTTGTATATTATAATTATATCATTATTACAGGTGCATTTCAGCAGACCAAGATTGATCCCAGTTCAATAGCTAATATTGTACAAAAATTCAAAGGGCTGTATATGTTACTGACTGAAAGTGAGCGTGAGGAGCTTTCAAGTATGCTTGTCTCAGAGGATGTCGATGCAATTAGTAAAAGTATTGAGTTAGACAAGTCTCTTCTGATTTCTGGATTGATGTTCCAAAAAATGGAAAGTTTGGAGAAGTTTATAAATCCAGGTAAAACTGAATATTGTATAATTTTAACTATGAAGTTGTGTTCTATATCACTTAAGATATTCCTGCATACTTTACCCATTTTCAACATTTATTTGTCAATTAATTTTATCAATTAATGTCACTTGAGATGCCGATTGCGTGTGATTGCATTATGGAAGATAATTCATGAAAAAAGTGTATTCTTCTCTCTGTTTAATGTGTCATGCTTAATTTTTAGCTCGACTATTCGATAAGAATAAGTAGAGCAATACTAGTCACCAGAGCGTCAGCATTTTGACAGAATTATGTCCCTTTTTCGACTTAGAATGAACGTTAAAGATTTGAAACACCTCAAATATGTTCAAAGTCCATTTATATGTGGCAGTGAAATTTTGCACACATGTTCACCGACATGCCTCCAATGTGTACACAGCGGGAGGTAACTCTATCAAGCAGATTGACAGAATTTTGTTCCTTTTTTACTTAGAATTTATGTAAAAGTTTTTTTTGACACCTCAAATATTTACAAAGTCCATTAACATATGGCTTTGAAACTTAGCACACTTGTTGACCATAATGCACCCAATCTGAAGACAAGAGGAGGTAACTCTATAAAGCATCTATACAGAATTTTACCCATTTTACGACTTAGCAATATATTAAAGTTTGCATACCACCTCATATATTTTTATATTCCGCTGACATCTGACTTTAAATCAAGTTGAAATTTTATACACTTCTTTGAGACCATAATAGGACTCTTTCCAAGGCCTATAACTGTACATTGATTTTAAGAAAAAATCGACCAATTTGTTAAATAAGAAAATCATCAATGCTCTTTTATTATCAAGCACTAAGAATAGTCGAGCGTGCTTTCCTACCGACAGCTCTTGTTTAATTGCATATATTGTAAATGTCTACCAATAACAACTTGGTTTTTCATGTGCTGTTCTTGGTATAGACAGTTGTTTTCATGCCACTACAAACTTATATCTTGCAATTGTAATATCATTGCTGTTTCATGTTAGAAAAGGTTAAAAGCCATGATACTTTCTATACGATTTGAAGGAAATTTATCACTATAGCAGTTCGCACCATTTCTGATATGAAGCAGTACGAATTGCAATTCTAAACATAGAACTTTAAGATTATCAGTATAGCATTACGCAACAGTTCAACAGCATTAAGCTTAATTAAATATAGCCGGGAACCTACGATTGCTTGGTGGCCCGAACAGTGCAAACGTTTTCATCGCTTCTCAATTACTCCCTTCGTCTTCTTTGACTATATGTATTCTATTGTGATTACTGTATAACTTAACTACGCGTTGATTACCGAAATCAATCGTGTTAAGGTAAACAAAAAATTGTCTTAAATCAAGAGGAGCAGATTCGATTTTTTTTTCAAAGTGTATTTGTACAACCCCTTCAGTGATGACGGCCGTGTTGTAATCTGAAAATTGGATAATTTAACGCATCTTAGGTCATACATTTGGGCGCTTCATACGAATTCGAACACATTTATGGATGAAAGTTTACAATACAAAAAAATCAGTATATTTAACTCCTATAGACCCTCTACTTAAGCGATAACAGTCAGGGATGAGTTACTTCCCTTACCAGATGTGACATAAATGGGGGATAAAGCAATGCAGGCCGCATAGAATGTTAGCTTATTGAAAAGTTTAATGCCGAAAAATACTGATCGTTCAATTAAGACATGTAAAAATGTACGCATGCATACAGAGATTCAATATCAAGACAATAGAAAAAATACAAAAACAAAGATTGAGATTAATTCTCTATACGGAGTTAAACAGCGAAATTTCAAACTGAATATTTCTTTTAGATCTCGATTTTCTCTAATGCCAGTAACTAAATCAAATTTTAATATTTTTACCTATACACACTGAAATTGCCTATTAAATTTAAGTTTTCTGTGTTATTTTCTGTCATTTAGAAAATTCCGGCGTATTTATGACAAACATGAAAATAAGATTGCCAATGTCTTTTAATGATTGTTTTTCAAGCTTTAATAGAACAATAACAGACTGCATTCTGTCATTACTTACTGAATTATCATTATGCCGTATAAAACATTTTTAAAGAACCAGTGAAGGATATAATTTTATAAATATTCCGGAAAGAACGAAAACCATGTGGCATTGACTTTAATAATTTTAGATTCGCAACAGACGATAATAAGATAATTTTGATATTAAAAATCTATTCTTATAGTATTCTTATAAAAATAAAGACATTTTCCCAGTAACTAATTTCATAAATAGATAGATGTGTATATATAAGCGCCACTCGGCCGTAACATATAAATTAACAGGGTGCATATGTTATATATACAAGCGGCACTTGACTGTGATATCATAAATCACCAGGGTGCATTTTTTAGAGTTATAACATAACATTAGATTACGTCACTTTTGTTAGTTGTCAAAATATTTATGGTGGATCATCTTTGAGTCTTTATTGGTCATGCCTGACTGATTTGATAATCGATCCAGAGTCCTACCAACTGGCACAGTCAAAAAGACGTAAAATTATAATTCAGTTAATAACAATTTTCTGTGAACGTGTTTCACAACTTGACTTTTGTGATTTTTTTAAAATTATTTGATAAGCATAGTATGAATTAAAAAGTATCAAGTTGAAAATATTACTTTACCAGCTTAAATATATTGGTGTGATGAACGATTTTTTGAGAGTGCATTTTTTGCCGACACAAATAGGATAAAGTCATGTACATTCAAAAGGATTTTTACTTTTTATGCCTTTACATTTTTTTGATTGTTATTACAAAGATTTATATCGTAGTTTTTCTTTGTCTTAGTAATGCTTAAATCAAAATGATTTTTAATAAACCAGTATCTTGCAATTAATTATTACGCAGCCGTTTTTCGAAACTACAGAATCCTTACATTTTTGAAACACAAAATATCTTTTAGGTATTTATATATAATTAGCAGAGACATACATAGATTATCTATATCTTTGGTATTAGCAAGTTAGTACGATTTAACTGCCTGGTAAAATTTTCATTATTAAGAATGTAACGAAAATTGTAATCATGCTCAGTTACCCAGCAATATGGTCTACTATCGTAAAACAAATCGTTAACATTATTATAGTAAACATTTTTATTCATTTCACCATCTTTTGTATGTAATATATTATTCAATTACACACAATTTTGACAAATTTAATCTGCCAATCTAACAAGAGAAACGATTAAGATCTTTATATCCCTCTGTTATTGTACTAAATCGTATCGGCATTGACCAACATATCCCCCAAGGGCGACAACTTGAATACGGTCTTAAATGAAAGGGTCTATACTCTGGTGACTTTTATTCCTTGTTAATGTAAAACATTTATCTTAATATTTAAAATGAATTAGTCCATAATGAAAGGTCTTTTCTACAAGAAATAATTGTGTTGATAGCATTTAGTTTTATACGTGACAAGAACACAAACAAGGAATAATTTTTAAGTTATTGGTAAGTATAAATATGTATATAGCAGATAATAAATCGTTCTAGAATAAAACAATAATAAGTCAATTTCAAATCGCTAAGAATGTTGTCAACATTTTTGTTCAAGCAATATGTTATGAGAATACCAATACCGGTATTTGTTACTTCTTATCCAATTATATGTTTATAAGTATTAAACTTCGTAAGTTACAATTACAAAAACACTTAACTGAGCTAAGATAATGGCGCTGCATTTAACTCGGTATTCAATGTTTCAGCTAAATATAGTATCTTAAGGTTCTTTTTCTTTACATTTTCTTATTACATATGAAAGAAAAGTTCGTGATTGAAATACAAGAACGGCTAAAAAGAAAAGATCTGTTGCGGTTATGTCAAGAATTGAAGGAAGACGAAGACGAACAGCTTAAGCAGATTAAGAATTATGAAGAGAAAAGGTTAAAAGAGACCATATTGCTTCAAGACCTCAAGTCAAATAGAAATACAGCTGAGGATGTTCTTCTACAAAAATTGACCTATTTTACATTCAAACTAGGTAAAAAGAATTTCAAATTGTATTAAGATGCTTGAAGTATTATTGATGTAGCGTCTGATTATTTTTAGATAAACAATGAAGGCCAACACAATACTTGTCTTTTTATTTTCTCATAATTGTTTCATTAAATTTCATATTGTCTATGCCTCATGTTGGTAGTTTCTGGAAGATAGCATTCCATAAATCACATTCTATTGCAGTTCAATAGAATAATTACTTTTTCGAGATCATTTTATAATATGCTTAAACTATCATTATCCATATATGAATGATATTGTATGCAACATCATTTCAATTGATGTATTTTTAATTGCATACAGTTGAAAGTGCTGATATCAATGCTGGCTCATTCTTTCCCAAATTGACAAAACTGTTGCGTGACATAAGTTCACAGTTCACCGAGGCCGAATGCAGTCGTCTTGTTCGAAAAATGCAATGGGGTGATAATGATGTGATAAGAGAATGTATTCGAGCAAACAGGAGTCTCCTCATACAAGGTCTATGGCAAAAAGAGATAGAAAATCTACAAGGAGTACCGAATATAGGTATTGTGTTATTAAGGCATTTTTATAGAGTGCACAATAAGCACATCTATTCATTACCTTTTTAGAAAAATAAGTAGATAACTTAATAGAAATGAAGTAAAATATATTATTATTTATATTACGTTAGTGAACTTTTGAGGAGTAAGGAAAATTCTATAAATGTAGCTAATATAGTTCTGGAAAATAAAATCTTTATAAGCTTATCTCACACTCCAGGTGCAATAGTTTTCTGTATGCATTCAAGCACATTCGCAACATCCACTCCTCTATTAACAACTATAAATTTCATAAAGACACAATATATTGAAAACAATATTGTAAGTGTACCCACGGAGTCGAAACATGTGAATCATATTTGTCAATGAATGGAATCGTTCCACTTAATACCCATAACTGAATTTTAACTGCTCATTAGAATTCTTTTATTCGCTAAAGGATGCAAGAGAAATAAGTAATGATTACGCAAACCGCAACCGGACATCATATTGATGCATATTTATCCATGTTTTATGTTCCAAAAACCGCTGTTATTATGACATACTCATCGTTTATAGTTTTGTTAATATTTTTTGATTTGGATCTATCAAAATTTAAGTCTTCGCCAATCTCCAGACTATATTCAGATTCAAGCTAAAATGTGTCGTAAAGCTATTTCCCCCGCATGCAACCAAAGTTCAAGAAAGACATCTCTGTCAAAAATCATTGGACCAAAACCAAATTTGAATTTCACTTGTATTTTCTGGTTAAATATGTGTACATGCGATTTCAATCTTATACAAACATTTCCACGAAAGTAAGTGAGGAAACTTTCATTTCTATAACTAAAGTTATTGAAACATGACCAAATTCGAACTTGTCATGTGCATTTCTATGACATATCCTTATCTTAAATTTGAATGAAATGTGTACAACTGGGGAGATAATTGACGGAAACTGAAAATTCCTCTTTTTCTAAAGTTTAACCCTTTCCCTCATGAGCATATTGTGAAAAATGGCCGTTTTCACTGTAGAGCCTCCTGTTAAGTTCAAACTGCTATGAAACTATGACAAATGCTTTAATACTAATCAAACTTGGCACAAACGTTGACTGGAACATTGTCTTTGTAACGACATGCTCAGTCTTAAATTTCCTGTTACCATGGCAACGAGGGGACATCTCAAAATTGCCAAAAATCACTATTTACCTCGATTTGTTCCATCAAAATTTATTTCAAGTGCTGAAACTTTTCAAGGGATTGAGATAGAGTCAAAGGCTTTTCAGCATTGGTTACACGTTACCTTATGATCGACCTGGGGTCATTTTTAGCCTCTCACAAGTCCAAAATTTTGTTGGCAATGAGGGGGACTCAGCCCCCCTTCAAACCCCCCAAACAGAAGGGGGCACATCCCCCTTCTGGCAGCCCCCTGATGTATCTTTTGGATGGGGGACGGCGCCGAAAAAGTGCTCACTTTCTTGAGCAACATTTCTCAAACGAAAACATGTGTTTGGGGCCCAAATAGGACATTTTTTTCACTATTTCAGGCCTAAAAAGGGGGGGGGGGGTCGAAAGTGCGTTGTTTCGCGTATATATGAGGTAAAGGGTTAACAAAAATGACGAAAAACTTTGGAATCACCCAAAATCTAGTTTTTCCAAGTTAACATAACTATGTCAAAAATCATCGAACCTTGACCAAATTCGATTTTGACCTGCGCATTTGTATGACAAATCTGTATGAAAATTTGACTTGGGGAGATAAAGAACGGAAATTAAAAAATTCTTTTTTTTTTCAAAGTTAAAGAGGCAGAACTCTGTCAAAAATCATCGAACCATGACCAAATTCAAACTTAACATTTGCATTCCTTTGTCGAAATTTATATGTTTAATTTGAATTGAATGTATTTAATTGTTGGGGGAGACAATGAACGGAAACTGAAAGTTTTTTAAATTAATTTTCAAAGTTAAAGGGGTACAAAAATAATTGAACCATGACCAAATTCTAATTTGACTTGCGCATTCCCTTACTTTAGCTCTGGCGATTATCTTGTTCAGCAAAGCGGATTCATTTTAGCCTTTTTTGGAGGAGATCATCTAAGGGTCATTCCTGTTTAGTTGCAACACTATTGGTGTGGCAGGGTGTTAGGAAGAGATTTCGTTTAAGTAAAATGTTAACGACGGATGACAGACGTAGGACGCGAGGGTATTACAATAGTACACCTTGTGCACATTGTTCTCAAGTAAGCTAATATTTAAAGGAGGTGCACACGATTGTTAACAATATGAGTTAAATGGGACAACCTTCATTGGCAGAATTACTAGTTTCACAGAACTTTCCTTTTCATATGAAAAGTCATTGTCTTACTTTTACGAAATTTATCCTTTTTTTACTCAGCCAAAGATGGAAAAACATTGTCCCTAATGTTTAAATAGTATTTTATTTCGTACATTAAAGCCAATGTCTGAAATAAAAATTGTGGTCACTATGCTTCTTATTATGTAATTTGCCCCTAAATTTGTGTTTATTTAACCCGTTTTGATAATTTTCAGGAGAAGAAATCCGAAATAAATCATATTTACAGTTAGTCCGCATCTTCATCTTCAAAATATTAAAACTGACACTTTCTGTTTTAGACATAAAACAAACTTTCTATCTTACATCCACTTAACAGATATTTTACTTAAAGTTTGAATGAGATAGATAAACTTACATTATTTCCCTAATTTGAAAAATAATACACCTCCGTTTTTCCGAGCAAATGTTCATTTTGCCAGCATATAATCTTTCAATCCATCAAAATTGCTACAGTGTTATTAGCAAATACAAGTTTTCTTCGTTGAAAGTTTAATTACGTCCGAACTAGAAGTACACGTTTCGTCCTGTGACAGGACGGGTACGCTTCAGTCAATGTAGTAATTTGCCAGGAATCCGACACTCGTGTCTTATTTATATAATGGTTTACCATGATGCCTTGATCATTGATTAATTTTATCCCGATTGAACGTTTTATAATAAAGCAAATGGCCAACAATAAAACATCAAATTTGAGAATAAACGTAGTAAAAAAGATATTTAAGGTATCAGACCATATCTAACCAAAATAAAAGAGCACATGTGTGACCTTGCTTTACTATATAAAAGGCTGTTATTTAAGTTTTTGAAAGCAGAACTTTGTCCGCACAGCACTAATCAAATCATATCAAAATTAAAATAAAAAAGATTAAAAGTTGAATTTCGTCAAAAACGAACTTGTTTCCTAGTTTCTTAAAGTCAACAAGTGGATAGATTGAAAAATTCAGACAGTGCAATGCAACAGCTCTTACACCGATGTGTTTTTCCAAATGCAATACAGTTCCCCTTTTGGTGGAGACAACTCATCTTAACGAATGATTTTCTTTTAACATTGGTTCCACGAAATAAAATCTCAGTAAACTACAGACAATTGCACAGTTCATTGTATACGGAGATAAGAAAACATTGTTTTTCTATATGAAGAAAATGAAAAGAAAAATGTTTACAACAAAGACAGAAATTTAAAATTGGCCATGAAGTGTAAAGCTGATATATGTAAATATTTTATGTACTTGCATTTTATAAACCACTTGCAAAATAAATCGTGTCATTCCGCAGTAAATCATGCGTCTTATTCAAAGTCATGTACAAGTAAAAAATTGCTGGCAAATGCAGCAATGTGATTGTCACGGCGAAAAACAAAAAAAGAAAGAGAAAAAACACCCCCGACAAAAACAAAAAACACAACAGTTAAGTATAATGATAAGGTATCTCCAAATAGCATTGCGCTGAATTGACATGTTAACTTGTTAAGAAGGTTTTTAAGTATTATAATGTAACTTGTTACAAGAGCCAAGTACATGTATTTGTAGTAAAGCAGTTATTTATCATTCTTGTGTACTGTACACCACTTGAGTGAGATCTATCCAAGAAGTTTAATGTTGATATCTCAAAGACTTTATTAGTTATGACCTGGACAAAAATTAAGTATGAAAAATAACATTGTGCAATAACTGAAAAATAATGCACGATTTGTTATCATTCTTATATGCTGCATTCCTCCTAAATGAAATCTATCCACCTGAAGTTTCAAGTTGTAACCTCGAACACCTTTTGAGATAAGCTCCGGACAAAACGTATAAAACATAACAAAAGGCAATAACTCAACAATTATAACGGATAGAGTTATCATTCTTGTGCACATCATTCTTTGTTAATAAGATCTATTCACCTATAAAGTTTCATGTTGACATCTCAAAGACTTTTTGACTTATGCTCCACTCAGGTGAAAAAATAAGAATGAAAAATAACAAAGGGCAATAACTAAAAAATTATGAAGTGTGGGGCTATCACTCTTGCGCACTGCAACCGCCTGAGTAAGATCTATCTACCTATGAAGGTTCATGTTGATATCTCAAAGACTTTTGTAGTTATACTCTTGACAAAAATTAAGTATGAAACATAACAAAAGGCAATTACTGAAAAATAATGCACGGTTTGTTATTATTCTTATGTGCTGCACTCCTCCTCAATGAAAATTATCCGCCTATGAAGTTTCAAGTTGTTACCTCGAACACTTTTTGAGACATGCTCCGGACAAAAAAGTATGAAAAATAAAAAATGGCAGTAACTAAGAAATTAAAAAGGGTAGAGTTATCATTCTTTCGCACATCATTACTCCTCACAAAGTCTATCCACCTATGAAGTTTCATATTGACATCTCAATTTTTTTGAGTTAATTTATACTCCACTCAGGTGAAAATTAAGTATAAAAAACAAAGGGCAATAACTCAAAATTAGGAAAGGTAGAGTTATCACTAAGTGAGATGTAACCACCTTTGAAGTTTTATGTTGATATCTTAAAGGCTTTTTTTAGTTATGCTCTGGACAAAAATTAAGTTTGAAAAATCACAAATGAAGTTTCAAGTTGATACTTTTTGAGATATGCTCCGGACAAAAAAATGTGGACGGACGGAGACTAATTCTATATCCCCCTCGCATTTTCGGCGGGGGATAATAAAACATTTTCCTGCTCATATCTAAAGGAAACTCAGAATTTTGCCCACAATAATGAGACATGAATTCTGAATGAAGTTTGATGTTGTGGTAAAGACTGATTTACGGACAAAATTAAATTATTGTACAACCTGGTAGGGTGAATGTTTATTGTGAAAATGTTTATTATGGAAAACCAAGTCTCAGTTTAGAGAAAAAATGTGTTATTGCGAAGAAAAATGAAATTATTCAAAAAAAAAAAATTAAAGCTTTTAACTGCAAATATAGAAACTTAGAAATGTAATGTTCAAAATACATTTTACACGTGAAAAGATTTACTCCGACATGAGAACACATAAGTCCAACTTTGTCGTCCTTTCTTGTTTTCGCATTTTCATATTTTGAGGCGAAGATGCGAAAATACGACATAGCGTAAATCAGCCACCATACATAATCATTTAACTGGTCATTGTGCTTATACTGCCATGTTAACTGGCGAATTTCTCAAGCGTGTCGAAAGGATGAGCGGAAATGTGTTAATATAAATTACTGATATTTCGTGTGTTGATAAAATACTGTTTAGATTCTATATGGGTTTGAAAAAAAACTGTTTCTATGTAACTTTTCACGGAAATGGGCTGTACAATGATTGCGTAAAAATCAATAAAATGTCGGCTGTAGAAATCGAAAGGTATTTTGTCACGTGACTTGCGCCCATGCTACCGAGAAATACCCATCACAATATCACGGCGTTGAGACGCCGTGAAATAAAGACGGACATAGCCCTATCTTTCTTTAGCGAGGGTACGAGCATTTCCCGAGGGGCGGTTACAACGGTTAAAATAATAACATTGACAAATTGACAAACTGCTGAATGTCAACTGTCTAGCTCGGGATTTGTGAATTGAACGTTTTACTGATTTTCTGGCTCAACATTTATTTTGAAATTATATTTGAAATAACGAATATCGAATGTTCAACATTAAATACTGAATAAAGATTGTTGATTGATTTGCAAAGTTAGATGGCCTTTCATGTTAAGGCCATCAAATTAACTTATTACTGGGGTCAATAAGATTTTTAGCCTTTTAAATTGAAACTCAAATTTTATAAGGTCAGCATGATGCTGTACATATCCAGAAAAAAAACAAGATTTTTAAAAGAACAAGAATAAATCAACACATTGTGAAAAGTTGATATAAAGATTTACATAACATAAATACATGACTTTTATAAAATAGAGAAATACAGAATCTCTACAGACAACATTGAAAATGTTGCAGGCTCGGTTTGATTGAGTCTGTGCTTGGACAGTAGTGGTAACTAACAGCTGCTGTCTATCATCTCTAGCATCAGCTTTAGCAGAGCGGGTAATGGTGAAGTTTAAATTTATAAATATCTATCGCATACGGCGGTTATCATCGCCCTTAACGAAGAAACAATGGAAGGAATTGAATAAAATGGAATTTTGATAGATAGGGCATCAGTGGTTATAAAATGGTGCAAAAGCGAGATTGGTACCGTGACCGAAATATATTTTATCCGAATAAATATCTAGTTGAACCATACTTAGATCTGCGCAATCTGAATATTCATTAAAAACCAATATTATTATGTTTACTAAATAAATATATAAAACTTATAGCCATTTTGATTTTAAAAAAATGCAATACTTTAAATAGCACATACGGTATGGCGATTTTTGTCTTGTGCTAGGCGTACTTTACAATCAACGCCGGGAACCAGGATAAGTAGTAAACCGGCAAATGAGTTCAGTTCGTATAAAAAGAAGTATAATAGTTTTGTTTATAAATTACTACGAGCGTATGTATCATAGTAAGTGAAAAAATCAATTATCAATCATTGGGAAATCTCAAAATATCTAACCCAATGATTCATCATATCTATGAACGTGTTTAATTAATGTATTTTTTGTGAATTTCATACGTTGTTTGTTTTAGATACATTTATTTCAACCATTTGCAAGGAAGTTGGAAGAATCGATATTTACAATCAATTCGAGGAAAGCGGACTTTTTTTACTTATCGATGATAAATTTGTTAATCACGTCTTTGAAAAGGCCGTTGGATATTTCGGGAGCCAACCTTATGTAGGCATACATGAAAAGCAGCCATTTGCAGATGAAGCGGGAGCAACATGCGCATCCGGTAACAAAAGTTCTCTTGGATCTACATCCTTAGGAACATCTTACTAAGTGTTTTAATACAAATGTAAAGTGAAGTTAGAAATAAATATGTAACATATATGACTCATATTACAATGTAACAATGAATTAAAAAAAACACGTTTTTGGAACTCAAAATATATTTAACAAAATTCTAATTGGGAAAATGGTTTGCACTTAATTTACTAGACACGTATTTATAATCATATATTTGACATAAGGTTTTGATTTGCAGATAAAACTTAACTGTTCAACTAAATTGCGATACCTTGCTGAATTATTATGACGAGTGAATAGATTTTGTACTTACTTATAAATAATAAGGAATAGTTACGGCATCTCATTGAAACAGTCATTGTCTATGTACCGAGTCTGAAAGATTGATCTAAAAATATGAATAATTTGTTTTAAGTGAAATAATGAAAATATTTTTTTAAATGCTTTAATTACAATGTTTGTATCACTGAAGGGAAATGGTATCTAAAAAAATTATTTTGAGTGGTAATCTAAATGCTACATTTTGGCAATAAATGTTGTAGAAACATTAAGATTAAAGATTAGCACAGAAAGAGATATCGTCCTGTATTAAAATGTTGGTTTGACTTCCAGGTTTTTAATAATGCAAATGTCTCTGAATATTTAAGTTTCGAACTTTTAAGGACTTCTGATTCATAGAAGCTGGGAAGCTATTAATTAAATAGTTCCATGATTTTATATTTATTATTTACTGTAGCATGCTTTAGATTTGTATGAGTTATGCCCTCCTTCATGTTAATATGAATTGTTGGAATATTGACCTTTTATTCGTTGCTTCATAGCCTTATCAAATTTAAAATTTTATGTAAAAGAAAGTTTATTTACATGTACCATACTTGAAATATGTGTTGGTTAGTTATTGCAAATGTCTCCTACCACTTGGAGCGTGAATGTTTTGGTGAGGCATCGAAATTTGATTGAAGACCCAACGTGTAAGGCAGCAAGTTTGCATTCTTTATTTTCTAATACGCTTGCTCAGACGAAAATAAATAATTAATTGATTCTCATTAAATTGGCCAATATCGAAACGTACAGAAATAAATTGAAACAAAAATCATGTAATGAACGTTGCCTTTCATTACTCCATAACTCTGAATGAAGGCATTTTCTTTTAAATATAACAGAAAAGATAGCTCCATCAAAATGAGCTTTTGGTTTTTGAAAGTTTACTTGATAAATATATCAGTTTACTCAGTCAAATTGTAGGAATGGGTGGATTCGAGTGGAAAATGAAAAACAAGTGAACGAAGCAATGCAATAACATTGTGTAAGTTGAAACGCCTTCCTTTTCTTTATGTAGAAATCTGATACGCTTAGTTTGATGCAAGAAACTACCGTGCTTTTATCACATTTTAAACACAAAATTAGTGCTGTTTCAATATTTGCGGTGCTATCTTAGTCTTACAAAAGAATGTATTATTGTGAATACATGCATTATTCGGGTGTTTTTGTTTTTCATTAAAAAACAAAAATAGCAGGTATGCATGCATGTGACTACACAGTTTAGCACCAAGGGAGAAACAGTATTTGAACATTGAATCTCTATTTAGGCTATTTAACTCCCTTAGACCATTGATACTTGACGCACGTGTAGAATGAAAATAGCTGTATTATATATGTATATATATATATTTACTATAATTTGTATAAATTATTCTGCTATAACATGCGTACGACATAACTAGCAAATCAAAAAGATACAGATGTGAAATATATTTGATTTTATTTGTTTATATTTAGGCTTTCTCTTTAATGGGATATTTCACACAATTACACAAGCCATTTGCTTTTAATAAAACAAATTGTTGTCATTATAAAACCACTGATAAAATTTTTGAATACAGTAAGATATAGTTACAAAAAATACAAATTCCATTAAGTTTGAATAAATTAATGTATAAATCATAAAATGCAAGAGACTGCTGATTTCACTCATTAAATGATAATGAGAAACTGTTCTATATTATAATTCCATTAACTACTCTTATTATTTCGTTTTGGAAAAGAGCAGTACAAATGAAAATAATCACTTTATAAATTCACTCACATGTCTTAAAACGTGTCTTGTGAAACATGTATAAAACATAAAATGTTAGAAACCTCTGATTTCACTCATTAAATGATAATGAGAAACTGTTATATATTGTAATTCCATTTACTACTCTTATAATTTCGTTTTGGAAAAGAGCAGTACAAATGAAAATAATCACTTTATAAATTCACTCACATGTCTTAAAATGTGTCTTGTGAAACATGTCTAAAACATAAAATGTTAGAGACTGCTGATTTCACTCATTAAATGATAATGAGAAACTGTAATATATTATAATTCCATTTACTACTCTTATAATTTCGTTTTGGAAAAGAGCAGTACAAATGGAAATAATCACTTTATAAATTCACTCACATGTCTTAAAATGTGTCTTGTGAAACATGTATAAAACATAAAATGTTAGAGACTGCTGATTTCACTCATTAAATGATAATGAGAAACTGTTATATATTATAACTCCATAAACTACTCTTATAATTTCGTTTTGGAAAAGAGCAGTACAAATGGTAATAGTCACTTAACCCTTCCCCCATGAGCATATTGTGAAAAATGGCCATTTTCACTGAAAAGCCCCATTTTTATATATTATAATTCCATTACTTACTCTTATCATTTTGTTTTGTATATATTATAATTCAATTTACTACTCTTATCATTTCGTTTTGGGAAAGAGCAGTACAAATGGAAATAATCACTTTATAAATTCACTCACATGTCTTAAAATGTGTCTTGTGAAACATGTATAAAACATAAAATGTTAGAGACTGCTGATTTCACTCATTAAATGATAATGAGAAACTGTTATATATTATAACTCCATAAACTACTCTTATAATTTCGTTTTGGAAAAGAGCAGTACAAATGGTAATAGTCACTTAACCCTTCCCCCATGAGCATATTGTGAAAAATGGCCATTTTCACTGAAAAGCCCCATTTTTATATATTATAATTCCATTACTTACTCTTATCATTTTGTTTTGTATATATTATAATTCCATTTACTACTCTTATCATTTCGTTTTGGGAAAGAGCAGTACAAATGGAAATAATCACTTTGTAAAAATCACATGTCTAAAAACGTGTCTTGTGAAACATGTATAAAACATAAAATGCAAGAAACTACTTATTTCATTCGTTAAATGATAATGAGAACTTGTTAATTATTATAATTTCATTAACTACTCTTATCATTTCGTTTTGTATATATTATTCACTCACATGTCTTTTGAAACATGTATAAAACATAAAATGTTAGTGACTACTGATTTCATTCATTAAATGATAATGAGAAACTGTTATATATTATAACTCCATAAACTACTCTTATAATTTCGTTTTGGAAAAGAGCAGTACAAATGGTAATAGTCACTTAACCCTTCCCCCATGAGCATATTGTGAAAAATGGCCATTTTCACTGAAAAGCCTCCTCTTACAAGTTCAAACTGCTATGAAACTATGAGAAATGCTTCAATACTAATCAAACTTGGCACAAATGTTGACTTGACCATTGCCTGGACCATTGTAACGTAACGACATGCTCAGTCTTAAATTGACTGTTACCATGGCAACGAGGGGACATCTCAAAATTGCCAAAAATCACTATTTTGCCTCGATTTTTTCCATCAAAATTTATTTTAAAGTGCTGCAACTTCTCAAGGGATTGAGGTAGAGTCAAAGGCTTTTCAGTGTTGGTTACACGTTACCTTATGATCGACCTGGGGCCATTTTAAGCCTCTAACAAGTCCAAAATTTTCTTGGCGATAAGGGGGACTCCGCCCCCACCCCCTTCAAACCCCCCAAACAGACGGGGGCACATCGTCCTTCTGGCAACCCCCTGATGTATTTTTGGATGCGGGGCGGCGCCGAAAAAGTGCTCACTTTTTTAGCAACATTTCTCATACGAAAACATGTTTTGGGGCCCAAATAGGACATTTTTTCACTATTTCAGGCCTAAAAGGGGGGGGGGTCGTCGAAAGTGCGTTGTTTCGCGTATATATGAGGTAAAGGGTTAATAAATTCAGTCACATGTCTTAAAACGTGTCTTGTGAAAAATGTATAAAATACAAAATGTTAGAGACTGCTGATTTCATTCATTAAATGATAATGAGAAACTGTTATATATTGAAATATTTCCATTAACTACTCTTATCATTTTGCTTTGTATATATTATAATTCCATAAACTACTCTTATCATTTTGTTTTGGAAAAGAGCAGTACAAATGGAAATTATCACTTTATAAATTCACTCACATGTCTAAAAACGTGTCTTGTGAAACATGTATAAAGCATAAAATGCAAGAAACTACTAATTTCATTCAATAAATGATATTGAGAAACTGTTATATATTATAATTCCATTAACTACTCTTATCATTTCGTTTTGTATATATTATTCACTCACATGTCTTGTGAAACATGTATAAAACATAAAGTGTTAGAGACTGCTGATTTCACTCATTAAATGATAATGAGAAAACGTGTCTTGTGAAACATGTATAAAACATAAAATGCAAGAGACTACTGATTTCATTCATTTAATGATAAGGAGAAACTGTTATATATTATAATTCCATTAACTACTCTTATCATTTCGTTTTTGAAAAGAGCAGTACAAATGGAAATAATCACTTTATAAATTCATTCACATGTCTTAAAATGTGTCTTGTGAAACATGTATAAAACATAAAAAGTTAGAGACTACTAATTTCATTCATTAAATTATAATGAGAAACTGTTATATATTATAATTCCATTTTTATATATTATAATTCCATTAACTACTTTTATCATTTCGTTTTGTATATGTAATAATTCCATTAACTACTCTTATCATTTCGTTTTGGAAAAGAGCAGTACAAATGTAAATAATCACTTTATAAATTCACTCACATTTTTTAAAACTTGTCTTGTGAAACATGTATAAAACATAAAATGTAAGAGACTGTTGATTTCACTCAATAAATGATAATGTGATAATGAGAAACTGTTATATATTATAATTCCATTAACTACTCTTATCATTTCGTTTTGTATTTATTATAATTCCATTTACTACTCTTATCATTTCGTTTTGGAAAAGAGCAGTACAAATGGAAATAATCACTTTATAAATTCACTCACATGTCTTAAAATGTGTCTTGTGAAACATGTATAAAACATAAAATGCAAGAGACTGCTGATTTCACTCATTAAATGAAAATGAGAAACGTTTATATATTATAATTCTATTAACTACTCTAATTTCGTTTTGGAAAAGAGCAGTACAAATGGAATTAACCACTTGGTAAACTCACTCACATGTCTTAAGTGAAGAAGAAATAGACAGTTACTTGAACTATATTTTATTTACAATATTTAGATGTATGTGTATGACACACGTTTTTCTCGGGTTTTTAAGATGTTTTAATATGTAAACATGTATATTTTTTCTGCAGATAAGGAAACATCCTTGTTTTAACAACATTCCAAAAGTAACTATTAAAATATTAATACTGTATATTAGAGGCCATGTAAATGCATATTTTCTTTCCGATATAAATATTTATTTGATATATTTAACATCTTTTCATAAAAGTGTCTTGTGGAAAATGATAAAGCAATGATATAAGCAGTTTAAAAATTTGATTACCTTTACCAAATTTTGGCTCATATATTTCTTTCCCTTTTTTTTACTAAAATGCTGTCAGACAATTCGTCAAGCATGTCTTTAAAACCAATACACTGTTGTAACGTAAATGCGTTACCATGAAGATTAAAACATAAGTATATGTAAACTGCTACATCTTCTTCGACATATTGTAATCATGATTATGAATACATGTTTTTATATAGGCATACTGTACTTCTTTTGATAGACTTGTTTTGATTTTGTGTGTTGTTTGATTTTTGTTTGTTTTTGTCAGGTTTTGATCGCTCTATTTTTCTAAAGCTGGATGTTATAATTAGAAAAGGAAATATTGTATAACGTATAAAACGTCCATGAATTGCATTTATTAATAGATTTTGTCGCTGAAGCTAAATATTAAACTAAAAGAAAATCGTACTGAATAACGTTTTGCCATTCATGTAAAAGAACAAACGGTATTTCAATATAATCTATTTACTAATGTATTTCTATCTGCTGTTGATACATCTAAGCATGATATATAAAATGTTGATTATAAAATCATTCAAAAATGAACTTTATAGACTCCAGTCGGTAAACACAAACTTACAAATAAATCTTTACTCAATATAGTATGTCTTCAACTGAAATATGTACTTTTTATGTAAAAGGTTTATCATCGACAATCAAACGTGACCGAGTTCTGTTTTGGCTTAACCAACAAAAGATTTCAATAGCGTCGTTGCAAGAAATTCATTATAACTCAACCACTGATGATACAGAAAATTGGTCGGCAAAGTGGAATGGAAAATCTTACTTAAGGTAGAACGCGACACTTTGCGAACTTTCTAGTAGCGTCTTGAAAATTGGCATGCAAAAAATTGACCATATTTCTGATTGGATTTCGTTGATTTTATTTCAATAGTTTCAGCCAATTTTTGTACACACGACGTCAAAGTTGACCATCAAAGCCCGTTTTTGAACAAGACGTCGTTGCGTATCCTTGGCAACTGTTACTGGTATTTCAACGCCATTGGCGGACAAAATATCTTAAATCCTACAGCATTCGACGCAAATTATTTTTTCCTTTAAGCAGATATAAAATTTATTTACGCCGAAAATTGTTTGAGTAATGGAAAGAAAATTGTCAATTTTGTGTAAAATTTGACGTTCAGTTTAGCCGCAATTTTCGGCTTTAAAGCGGCTTATAAAAAAAAATTCCTGAAATAATGTTTTGATTTTTTTCTTTAAACGTCCTTTAAAATGTATACTTAATCAAAATAATTAAAAAAATTAGGGGGTCACCGACTCAATTTTTTCGGTATACGTGATTTTATTTCCCCCACCCCGTGAGTAATTTTGTAACGAAATTCGACGTATGCAGATACGTTTGAGACTTCAAAGTGCGGCAATAATGTTCAGCTTATCAGGAATTGTTCTAGAATTGTTCTAGAGTTTTAATAATACATATAAAACAACAACAACAATGTTCCATTGCAAATTCTTAAAATTGTACGAAAAACAAACGAATTTTTTCTTGTTTTTCAGCATGATTAATAACTTCATAAGGAATTGTAAACAGACGCATGTAAAGAAAATGACGTCAGGCGTTCAACGACAACGCGTACGCTGCGCAAACAAAAATAAATACAGCTGAGAGTAATCATTGCGGTGTTCCTTTTAGATATTGTAATAAACTTGAATAGAGAAATATGCCATAAGGAACAAAAGCTTCTATATATTTTTATGTAAATTGAGAAATTTACGGAAATTCAATCATAAATTAATACGTAGTCTACAAGGAATTCTGCAAATCTATACATTTTGCATTACCCACACTATGAGTGATATACTGTGAGTGATAATTATTTTATTTCACCTATTAAAAACCAGAATTGTAATCAAAAAAACTATTGTAACAATTTGACAGAATTGGCGAAATATTGACAAATTAAAATATACGGTTCATAAATGAAATTTAGTCAATTATATTAGGGTGAAGCAACAGTCATGCTTTAAACGT